ACTTTTAAAATCTTAGTATTAAATTTTAACTCAATTTTCATTATATAATTATGGATAGGGTGTTAACGGGCCGAGCCGAGCTTTAGTTTTAAAAGGCTAAGCCTGTGTTTAAATGTTTCAGTCTAACCAAGCATGTTACATATTATAAATATAATTATCGAACAGTGACCTGGCTTATTTACAAAAAATAAAAGTCCGATTTAGCCTGTTTAAAAATATATAAGACAACAAAAATTATCCAAACAGAAAATATAATCAACAACACTAGTAATTCAATAAATATTCATAAATTCAATGTATATCCAAACAGAATAATATAGAACAAAATTATTCAAAAAGTCCGTTAACCAATAAAATGGGGTGAAATAAATTGAGGAGAAAGAGAGGATTATTACAAATTTACAAGTAATATAAAATTATAAAATATAAATAAAAAATAATATATTAGGCCAGCCTGAGAGGCTCTAAGGCCGAGTTTTTGAAATGAAACTTGAGATCTTTTTATTAAACGAGCTTTTGTATAAGTTCAGGCCTAGTGCCAACAATTAATTTTAAATATGTAAACTCAGGCTTTCACGAGTCGAGCTAAAGGCCCCTCGTTCATTTAGTGTCGATGGGTATTAGTTTCTTCATTTCACTGCATATAAGTCCTCGTTCTCGCAAACACAAAAAAATGCAGGTTCACCATTTTTTTTAAAAGAAAAAGAAGTTGCACAAAAATTGATGTGAGTATAATATAAGTGGATAATCTGCAGTAAAATGAGAAAAAGATTTTCATAAAATAATTACTACTTTTATCTTTAGGAAAAATTCATAAATCTCACTTAATTTATTTTTTTATCACTTATATCTTTATGCTTTTTTCTTATCCCCTATAACTTTTTTTTTCCATCCAAATTCAGGTTTCATATTATGAGTAATTAAATTAACTTGTCAATTTTACCCTTATTTTATTTTACAGAATAAAGCTCATTTTAAGTCCCTAATAAAAAATACGATGTTCACTTTCATCTCTTATAAAAAAAATCAACTTTTATTCCCTTTACAAAATTTCAGTTCTTTGAAGATGTGATCTTTCAAAAATTTAATTAAAACCCTTTTTTTAATCGGAAGTAGGAACTGCATTTTTTTGTTAGGGTCGTTATTTGAGGCTCGCTCACATATGCTTCCGCACTGGACATCCTGGGTGTATGTACATGTTTCATCAAGGGATGATGATTTTGAAGAGAGTTTCCAAAAGTGTAGATCAGGAGGAGATGAGTTTGATGAAGATTAACCTAATGCCAAAAGATGGTAAGTTTTTATTTTATCATTTTGCATCATAATTAAGGTTCACTAATCAAGTGTGTGGCCTTTCTCTAATATTATCATTTGCGTGGTTCATTCCATGGTTAATTTTTCCAGGAAAATTGAAGGTGAAAATGAGGGTATATCAGCTGCTGGTAGTAGAACAGTGAGAGAACGAACCCAGAGTTGTTCAGACAAGCACTGACATTGATATCCTAGATGATGGGTATAGATGGGGTAATCCAAATCCAAGGTAAAAATAAACACTCACTTTGGGTTTTACTTTTGTCCTACTTTTGGAAAGTTGTTCACGTTTGAAGTGCTAAGAACTAGAGCCGGCAAAACGGGCTCGGATCGACGGGCCAACCCGTTCAACCCGCCAAACGGGACAGGGCAGGCTGAGTTTTTCAACCCATCTCAAAAGCGAGACGGGGCGGGGCAGGCTCATTTTTTGGCGGGTTGATGGCGGGCATAGACGGGCCAAGGCGTGTTAGTGTAAAATAGGCTCGGGCTGGCGGACCAACCCGCCCAACCCGCCAAACGAGGCGGGGCGGGCTGAGCTTTTCATCCCAATTTCAAAAGCGGGGCAGGGCGGGCTGGTTCATTTTTTGACGGGTTGATGGCGGGGTGAGGCGGGGCGCCCACTTTTCCACCCCTACTAATAACAAATATAGGGGGTGTTTCATAGAAGTTTTTTTTTTTTTGTAAATTTTTGGAAATTTGAAGGTAGTAATTTTATTTGGTGGATATATTTACCACCAAAAAAGTTTACCACATTTACAACCAACTTAATCACCGTTGATTTCCGTCAATCTATCGATTATAATTTATTAAGAATTAAGAATTAAATAATAAATACGACCCAATAATTTTCAATAAATTATAACCGTTAGATTGACGGAAATCAACGATTATTAGATTAGTTGTTAAGGTTGTAAACTTTTTTGGTGATAAGTATATCCTTCTTCATTTTATTTATCCTCGTTTGTTATGAGAGTTTTAACATTTAGTCCACTAACTTTGACCAATAGATTATAATTATTAATTAATTTTGGCCCATTATTTAGTCGACCAATAGATTATAATTATTAATTAATTTTGGCCCACTAACTTTGACCAATAGATTATAACCGTTGATGGACGGAAATCAACGGTTAGGATCTAAAAGGATATAAGCTTATATCCTTTAAAATGATAGATGCTTTTCCCTTATTAATAATAGGGTTTAATGAGTATAATGTTGCATAATGTAAGAAAATTTTTCTACACTTACAATAAAGAGGAGAGAGAAAGTGAAATGATGAAAGAGAAAAAAAAAATATGTAGATCCCATCTCTTAATTGTGTAGATAGAAAAGTTTTATGGATCATGTACATTATACTCATACAACCCTTAATAATATTAAAAATGAACTTGGATAAATAAAAAAATACAGAAAAATAATTGGTAAGAAAAAAAAAATACAGGAATGTATATAATATAAGAGTACACGAGGATCGATTTATGAACTTTTCCCTTTTTTCTTTCTAACAACATATATATTATGGTATTTTTGCTTGGAAACAGCACGCTCACCTTTGTTGAAAGTAGACCATCGCGTTAACATTCCACCATAAAAGACAATGATGTAGCGTCACTATGGAAGAAGATTTTGTCCAATGCAATTTTTATTTTTAAGGAAAGTGGTTTTTCTTTTCTTTTTTTTAGTGTGACCAATCCGTCAAAGAATCATAAAGAGCACTGAAAGTTTCAATTGGGTTGTTAGCCCAAAATTCCAAATGAGAGTAACGGCCTCGTACCTCACAGTCACACACCAAGATCAAATCAACTCCCCTTATTCACGCCGAGGACTTAGAGCCAAACACTCATGGACAAGGTCTCAACTTTGGATTGAAAGTGATTTTTACCCGAATGGTTGCTACAAGGGAACGAATAAATTTTTGGTGCTACTGTTGCACCCTAGATTCAGTGTATCCTACCAATGAGAGCATTACATGTCAACCAAAATTCTCTCTCCTCTGACAAATTTGTTCTCTCTCCTCTGACATGTAATGCTCCCATTGGTGGGATGCACTGAATCTAGGTGCAATAGTAGCACCAAAGATTTATTCCAAGGGAACAGTGCCCCTAAGATGAAATGCATTTTCCTTCCACATTAACTTAATACTTTCCAATTCCTAAGTCTAAAATGAATAAAAATACGAAAAGACATAAAAAGGCTAGTGGCTTTATTTTATTTTTTTTTGAAATATTTCAATCGGTTCATTGCTTCGCGACTAGTTCGATTCGAGACGTGTCCAGAATTAAGGCTTTAAACTCCTCCCAAAAGTGATAATGGGAAGGATCGAGTGATTTCTACATCAACATCAATAACACTTTTATTCCAAACTAGTTAGGGTTGGTGATAGATGAATCCAAATAAAAGATAAATACGAAGATATTGGAAAAAACAGAAAATAAAATTTAAGTATATAAATATATATGAGTATCAAGAAATTCTAACCTTAAGCTATTTGGGCTCTAGGTTTTCTAGACTCTTCTCACTCACCGGGTCCAATTGGGCTTTAAGTGAAAGAATATAAACCCGACAATAAACCGGTAGTTACTGCGTTACATAAGCCAAAACTTGTGAAAAATATATGCCAGCAATGTAAGAAACAATACAATGTGGATATTAGGATTATTAAGCATATAAACATATTGATTATTTATTGTGCTTTGAAATTTTTAGCATTTTTGGGATATTTTTAATAAATTATTTTCAGGATTTCAGTCATTTAAGATTGCTGGGTTATCGAGTGGGATTTGCCTATTTAAGGATTGCTAAATACTAAGCAATATATATTTGACTATTAAGTACCTTATATTTGAGAGGACAAGCCTGGAATTCAAGAACGTTATATTTAAATGATCTGATTTTTTTTCACATAAACTCTCAAAAAACTTCAAAATATGACATATAATATTATCTTATTAAAAGACAGAAGTATTAATGGACTAAGGACCCAAATGCATTTACATGTTACAAGGTGCTTCTATTTTATGTCATGTTCCATACAGTAATGATATTCTAAATCTGTAATCATGTGGCTGTGTTTCACAGACTCTAACATCCAACATGATACTTAGCTAGCTGTCATCATCAACATTCAACATGTGCTCCCTTTTTGAATTTCTAAGAAGAGGAACAACATCATAGTGGCCAATATTCCTCTCTCCATAAGCAAATGGTTCTCTACAACTGAGCAATACTTGCAAGACCTCCTTCATTGAAGGTCTACTAGCAGGAAGTGTTGAAGTACACATGACCCCAAGTTTGAAAACGTTACACATTTCATCCAAGTAACTTGGTTCCGTGACATCATTGTCTAGTAGCTCTTCTATATTGCTTCCTTCATGAATGTGGCGCCAAGCCCACCCTGCAAGAGATGAGTGCTCATCACCATAATTAGCTTGTTTACCAGTTGTCAGTTCCAATAGGATAACTCCAAAGCTGAAGACATCAATCTTTTCACTGACTCGAGTTGTTTGAACATATTCTGCAATCCAAATGTGACAAAACAAATTCAGATTAAACTTATTCCAATGGAAAAAGAGACAAATTGAATTTAACTAAGCAATATATTTGTTAGTAATAGAGGACGCGTTTGAAATAGTGCTAAAACTGTTTCTTTGTGACTGAAAAATCATGAGGTTTGAATTCATAAAATAGTTTCTTTGCAAACGTGCAAGGATAAGACAGTGTACAAGGATTTTCTCATTCCACCCTCCAAAATCGGGGTTTAATAAACAGTGATTTCTTTTTATAATATATTTGTTAGTAAGGAAACAAAAAAAAGAAGATTGAAATGTCATTCACCTGGAGCCATATAGCCAAATGAACCAATCACAGTTGACATGGTGGCAAGTTCCCCAGGCTTGATTAACATCCTAGCCAGACCAAAATCAGCAACTTTTGCTTTGAATTGAGAATCCAAGAGAATGTTACTTGTTTTCACATCTCTATGAACAATAGGTGGTGAAACATCATGATGCATGTAGCACAAACCTTGGGCAGCTCCAATGGCTATATGCAATCTCTTTGGCCAATCAAGAACAAAATGATGAATTGAACCTGACACAGTTGATGGCTTGCTTTTCTTGTGCAGCCACCTATCAAGGCTATGGTTTTCCAAATACTCATAGACAAGGAGCATAGAATCCTTGTTGGAGATACAGCACAATAACTTCACAATGTTATTATGACGAATGTTGCTCAATATTCTAACTTCAGTATGAAATGAGCTCTCAAGATTCTTGTCTAACCTTTTGTTTTCCCAAATCTTTTTCACAGCAACATAGCCTAAACCATCAACGGCAACACGGTACACAGTACCATATCCACCACTGCCAATAATATTATTTTCTGTCATTTTTGACACTATGCTAGATTCAGTGAAATTCAGCCTTTGAAAGGAAATGAGCTTCCATGAGCTATCCAGTGCTTGCTTTCTTCTTCTGCAAAGTCTGATAACAAACAGTGATGTCAACAAAGCCAATAAGCAGGCCACTGCCACCAGGCTTATAATCAAAGAAAGAGACCAAGATGAGTCCTTGCTTGGACTTTGAGGGCTAGAATTGCACAAGGTAAGGTTCAGTGCTGGGGTATCAGCACACAGGCCAGGATTGTTCAAAAAACTGCTAGAATACTCAGAATTTTCAAATTCACTTGGTATCCTCCCTGTCAAATGATTGGAGGATAGATTGAAATTTGTGAGTCTGGGAAGCAGAGAAGGAATTTTGCCAGATAATTGATTTTCTGACAAATCAAGTTGAACAAGGACAGGTAACCTACCAATTGCATCTGGGATTTGTCCAGAGATTTGGTTTTGGCTCAAATTTAGATTTATTAGGGACTTCCACGATATTATAACTGATGGAAGTGGCCCACTCAGTTGGTTCTGATCAAGCAACAGAGTTATTAACTTGGGAAGAGCTGTTAGCGCTTGTGGAATACTTCCATTAAAGTGGTTCTTACTGGCATTAAACACTACCACATTAGTCCATGAAGATACTCCAGCTGGAATTCTACCATAAAACTGATTGTAACTTATCTCAAAGCGTGTAATGCTTGAAGACAATCTTTCAGGAAGCTCACCAGTGAACTTATTCTGTCTTACCATGAAATTTACCAAATTGGAAGTCCAAAGTCCACTGGGAATGTTACCAGAAAACTCATTACTGTAAATTTTCAGATCAAGCAGGCTACTGCAATTTCCAAGTGATTCTGGCAACTCACCACTCAGATTATTTTCATAAACAGTTAAATTAAGTAACTCACCATGATAGCATAAATTCTCAGGTAGCCTTCCAATAAAACTATTAGATGCAATCAGAAAGGTTTGAAGCTTTGAGTAGAGGCCAAAATCAGGAGGAAGAGTACCTGATAAGTTGTTGAAAAAGACATGAAAATCTACCAGAGATGGTAGAAGGCCTATGCTTTCTGGTATCTCCCCTGAAAAGTTATTGAGAGGTAAACTCAACCCTGTCAACTTTTGGAGCTTTCCAAAATCATCTGGTATTTTCCCTGAAAGATCATTCCGTGCAAGATCAATAATAGTCAAATTCAATGCTTCAACTACCCCAGGTAACTCCCCAGAAAGACTGTTTCTGGAAAGAAACATTATGCTCAGATTCTTCAGCATGAATAAACCACCAGGAATTTTTCCAGTTAAACCGTTTTGTGATATATCCAATTTCTCCAAAGCCACCATTTGTCCAATTGATTCAGGGATTTCCCCAACCAAGTTGCAGTCATACATATAAAACACCTTCAACTTGTTCAACTTGGTCCAGTTCGTGGGCAACCTCAAAGGAATGAACATGTTGTTAGAGGACAAATCCAAGGTTTCAAGATTGGACAAGTTTCCAATCTCATCAGGGAAGTTTCCATTAAACAGACAAGCTTGAAGTGCAAGATATCTCAGTTCCTTCAGCCATCCAATACTCACATGAATGTCACCACTGAAGTTGTTGTAACTAAGATTAAGATACTGCAAATTGGACAAGCGATCAATGTCATTAGGAATCTTACCAACAAAGTTGTTCATTGAAAGGTCAAGGTACTCCAACTTGGAACAATTGTAGAGAGATGTTGGGAACTCCCCAGGAATGAAATTCAAGTTGAAATCAACATGTTTGAGATTTGTGAGGTCACATATGAAAGGTGGCAATGTTTGATTGATGTTGGTGTCAACCAAAGCCAATCCAGTGACAGAGCCATTGGTGCAAGTGATCTCTGGCCAAGAACAATGAGAAGAGTTTGATGGGGTCCAGTGACTAAGGAATGGTGGGTTTTCAAGGTATTGCTTTATCTTCAATAGGACTTCATGTTCTTGATCATGCAACGGAGACTGAGAGTTTGCATGGTTGAGGATTATGAACAATATCATAAGAAGATAGAATAGAAATTTAACACATGATGGGGTGGTTAGTTTCATTTGGGTGTTTTGTGTTTTTCTTTTTTGCTGGTTTTTTTGAGTTTGTGTATACTAAAAAAGAGAACTAATTTGCAATGAAGGAGGAAGATGATATGTAGAATTATGTAATACAATGTTTGACTTTAGACCGCAGAAGAAGTTGAGAATCGTTGGCTTCTTTACAAAGTTTAATAATATTCAACTCTGGCGGGTCAGAAATTCAAAGTCAATGTTATGAATATGGTGGTAATGGAACTACGATTAGTACAAAGCAATGGAAATTTCTAGTTTGAAAATGTAGGCGTAATGCACTTGTCAATTGAAAATAAAATAAAATAAAAAAGACAAGATATTCTTTGTTACGGAAAGAATCGACGTCCTACATTAGAAAGAATCGTACCTGTTTGTTTGCACAACGTAAGCAGCAATCACTGAAGGGCAGTAACAGGTTACAATGGGATAATACACCAGACTAAAGATAATATATAACATAGATCATTAGCAAAAATATAGCTTTATGACTCCGAAGCAAGTGTCAACTAAAGATAAATTTTAATCCACTATTATTTACTTTGAGACTTTTAAAACTAAAAATAAAAAAAATTGAATGAATGAATGAATGTGAGTTATTCGATTCGTTTGATTGAGCTTTTTTTTAGTCAAAAGCTGTTTTCTTTTTCAGCTAAAAAAAAAAACACTTATATTACAAAATTTGTTTGGACGTCTGCTTTAGTACCTAAAAATTTTAGTTTTAAAAAAAAGAAAATCAAAAGCTAAATATTTTTTCAAAAACCAATTATTTTTAAAAAAATTTAAATAGCTTTAACTTTTGTAAAAAAATATTTTTAAGATAAGAAAGACATAAAAAGTCATTTTTTTACGATCTCATCTAAAGGGGGCTCTAAGAATACTTTTCTAAAATAAAAGTAAAGCAAACAACTAAGCGTAGATCCTTTCACCATTAAAGTAACGTAGACCTTAATGAATGTGCAAAATCAAAATCTACCACAATAGGACCCCTTGTTTGTTTTTCCTTTTGGTAATTGAGACCCTTGTTTTCTACTCGTATACTTTTCTTTTCCTACTACTTTTGTTCCTATGCAACTCTAAAGATAATGAGAACACCAGATAAACAAGAGACAAGAGCCACACAACCTAAATCAACTTCATTTGTGTAGAGAAACTGCGGACAACGTCCCAATCAATTTTGGTTGTCAACCCGAAGCCCCTAACAAACAAGAGTGATATTTTCCTTCTTGCCTTTACCACAAGGGAACAGGGATTGACCTAGTTGGAGTTTTTTTTTAGTATTTCTACTAACCGGTTCATCCTTTAGGACTAATCCGGCCGGGGGCTAAGAGCAACAAGGGTACTCCCTCCCAACAGATGCGCTTCCCGGGTGTTGAACTTGAGTCCTCCACCTTACGAGGACAAAAAATGCTTCCACTTGGCCAACACCTTGTTAGTAGTTGGAGTTTTTTTAGTCAATAAATACCAGTTTGCATGGATGAAAAACTTATTTATTTCAACTGTCAAAATTGGTTAACCCGTCTCATCTGACCTTTCCTTATACGGGTTAGGATCAAAAAACTCGTAAGGGCCAAAAAAATCTATAATAATAAAAGCTCAGGTCAAAAGCCTTATGGAAAAGTAAATTTCATGAAATAAACTGTGAAAAAGCAAGACTTGCATATCTTGCTAAGGATTAAAAAAGAAAAGAAAAAAAGAAGAAGCTAAAAGCACATGGATCCACAAAGCTTGAATCAATCAAGTATAAAATATTTTGATTCGAAGTAGACCAAAGTTGACTTACTCTTTCGTGGTATTTCTTTAGTGGCCTAGTCTTTCATGGATCTGCATGTTAGGTACACGGATGGTCTTAGAATAATAGTTGTTGATTTTATATGAAAAAGCAATATTGATGAACAATTATAAAGTGGGTCTTAAAAGAATAAATTAATTTCGTATGGGTAATCAGAAAATTAAGAACCCCCTTTTGTTTAAAATTATTCTTGATTAGTAATTCTCTACATTTGAGTTTATTTGAAATGTTATAATCTAATGTTACCCGACCCGGTCATTGATCCGGGATATTGGATCACTGCATTAATGATTCAATTGATAAGTCATAGATTGAACGGTTGATCAGTTAACTATATGCAAATCTATATTTTATACTTAAAAATTCACAAATATACTCAAATTATAAGTGTTTGTGGTCCCAACATCAATTTATACTTAATTTAACTCATATAAAACAATTTTATCATATAAAGAAACACAATTTATATCTCATTCAGTTAGGAAATAAAATGAAAAGTTTGGAAATTTATAGAACAATAAATGTAAGTAATGAAGACTCAAGACAAGGCAAGGAAGTGAAGATTAGAGTTCAGAGACACCTGTGGCGGAGGGTGGGTTTGAAGCAATGAAGATTAGAGTTCAGAGATCCATGGAGAACAACCCATGACTTGTTGGAGAGAATATTTGGAAGTGGTTCTATATATATATATAACCAAGCAACCAGCGAGCTTCATAATCTGAAATTTAGAGTGAGGAGCTGGAGACTGTTTTTGCCATTTGAGAGAAAGGAAGAGGAAGGAAGGGTGTAGCTTTTGCAATTTTGGGTTGGGGTTCAACTCCCGAACTAAACTGGGTGTGGGAGGAGTTTTAATTTGGTTGAAGTTTCTTGGGGGAGATAAATTTTAGAGTAAATACCATCCTTGTTCACTTTACTCTCAAACAAATAAAAAAATTATTCGTAGTCTCTAAGAAATTTAAAATGGATCCATTTTTAATCCTTGAGACTAATATGGATCTTTTTTAAATTTGTAAGAGACCACGATTTCAAATAAATGGGTTCAATTTGAATTTCTTAGGGACCACAAATAGTATTTTTATTTGTTAGGGACTAAAGCGGGCATCGTGAAATTTGCTGAGAACCAGAAAAGTTATTTACTCTAAATTTTATTGGAAAAATTGTGTATCATTTTAAAGAATAGAAAATTGTTTATTTTAAGTGATAGAAAAAGATAAATCATGAGAAAAAAGTTTTAAAGGTGTGTATACTATCTTTTTATGAGATTGAAAAGACACACAATGTGTCATTTAAAGTGATTAACCTTTTTCCCAATTTTATTTCATGTCCGCATGTAAAAATGTGTCTATGTGTATATGTGGAACTATGTGTATATGTGGAGCTTCATGTAAGAAAAAACAGAGAAAAACAAAAAATATAAATCATATATATTTTTGTACGTGTAAAAAATAAATTTATCTTTTATAATACAACTAACAATAAATTGGCTTCATGTAAGAAAAAAATATATAAACCATACATATTTTTGTATATGTGTAAAAAAATAAATTTAACTTTTATAACATAACCAATAATAAATTTGGGTTCGCTCTTTATGCGGTTACTGCAGATAAGTTATATGCAGTAAGCCCAAAACGACGTCGTTTTGGAGCAGAAATCATGGTATTTTTGTAATTTTAATTTACTTCAAGGTTATTATAGTCTTTATAATTATAAATTTTTTAATCTTTCAATCCCAAAACGACGTCGTTTTGAAAGTAAATGCAAATAACTTATCTGCATTAACTGCAGAAATATTTCTTTGAATAAATTTATGGGTAAATGAATTTGATGCAGATTTATAGGGAAAGTAGCCTTCAGGAAAATGCAGGAGTTTTATACTATATTATTGTTCTTCAACAATCAAAAGTCCTCCTTTCACATCCTTCTACAAGCCTTTTTAACCAGGCAATACAAAAAGTAAACAACAATAAAGGACTATCAATGGTCTTAAAACTGACACAAAACATAAATAAAACTCATACAAAACAGAAATAAAATTGATTCAAAACAGAAATAATCATAAACCAAACATAAAGTCATGTAAACTGAAACGCTGCAATTATTAAAATTCATAAAAGGCCTTAAAACCCCTCTAAATGACAACTATGATGACTTATGGTGACTCAAGTGCATCAGCAGAAAACTTCTGCATTTTCCTGAAAGCCTACTTTCCTTATAATTCTGCATTATTTGGTATCAAAGCTCAGGTTGCCTTAAAGATGGTTGAGCCAGAAAATCGCGGAGGTCGTGGTTGTGGACGAAGAGGTCGTGGCGGCAGAGGACACGGTCAACCTACCGATGACGATTATTATACTGATGCGAGAGATGCTGAAATTAAGGAAAAGGACAGACGGATCCAAGAACTCGAACAACTGCTTGAAGACTCATCGTTGCACGAGTCAAAAAGGAGACAAGAATCTGAACTGTCATCTCTAGAGGAAGAGGATGACTTTTGATTGTTGAAGAATAATAATATAGCAGAAAACTTATGCATTTTCCTGAAAGCCTACTTTCCCTATAATTCTATACTTTCCCTATACCAAATGATGCAAAATTATAGGGAAAGTAGACTTTCAGGAAAATGCAGAAGTTTTCTGCTATATTATTATTCTTCAACAATCAAAAGTCCTCCTCTCACATCCTTCTACAAGCCTTTTTAATCAGGCAATACAGAAAGTAAACAACAATAAAGGACTATCAATGGTCTTAAAACTGACACAAAATAGAAATAAAATTGATTCAAAACAGAAATAATCATAAACCAAACATAAAGTCATGCAAACTGAAACGTCTGCAATTATTAAAATTCATAAAAGGCCTTAAAACCCTTCTAAATGATAACTATGATGACTTATGGTGACTCAAGTGCATCATCCTCCCCCTACCAAGAGAAGATTCGTCCTTGAATCTGCATTGTCTTCATCTGCCATGTCACCTTCATCTTCGGCACATTATGGGGACAAATCTGCAACATTAAAAGTGCCAGCCACATTATACTGCCCTGGTAACTCAACCTTATATGCATTATCATTGATTTTCTCAAGGATTCTAAAAGGACCATGAACTCGGGGTTGCAACTTGCCAGAGCGTTTGGCAGGAAAACGTTCTTTACGCAAGTGAATCCATACTAGATCTCCTTCCTTGAAGATCTGTTGCTTCCTATGCTTCTCTACCCGTTGCTTGTATTTCTCATTCTATTTCTGAATTTGACTGTGAACTTGAGAGTGG